AATAATAATAATAATAATAATAAAATAATAATAATAATAATAATAATAATAATAATAATAATAATAATAATAATAATAATAATAATAATAATAATAATAATAATAATAATAATAATAATAATAATAATAATAATAATAATAATAATAATAATAATAATAATAATAATAATAATAATAATAATAATAATAATAATAATAATAATAATAATAAATAATAATAAAAATGTGAAAATGATATTATAATAATAATATAATAATAAAAAAAGGCATAGCCTGTTGACTTCCGTTGCCGGGAATCGAACCCGGGCCTTGCGGGTGAGAGCCGCAAATCCTAACCACTAGACCACAACGGACACCAAACACAAGTTTTCAAAGATTAAAGTTCCACTTTGTCTTATTTCTTTCAGAATGGTTTTTTTTCCTGAAATACTAAAAATTTACTGAAATTTTTTTTTTGAGAACAATTTTTTTTTGCATTTTTTAGGATAATTTTTTTTAATATTTTTCTTTTGAAAATAATTAAAAATTATTGGAACATTAATTTAATGAAATCAGAAATTTATCGTCCATTTCAAATTAAAGTTGGAATTAAAATATATTCATTCAATTTGTTTGCAGTAATTATTGAAAGGAAAATGATTTTTAAACGAAATCAATTTTATTGCTTATTTTGATACTATAAACTGTCTTCTTTTTCCATTGCTTTTCAGGTTAATTTATATGCAAAACTTTTTAGTATGCATATTTATAACACCGGAATTAATACCGGATTCCATATTATTGGTATAAACGGTTTCGATATTTTCATGCAATTTTTTTCAACATATAAATGTAAAAACTTTATTAGCATTGGAAGTAAAAACTTTATTAGCATTAGAATATTATTTAAGGAAAAAAAAAGGATTGTAAATTCTTATTGCATTCCTAAATTGGTTATTTTGTAGTTAAACCTTTCCACTTTTATTTGGTTAACTTATTATTTGCTCAGTAATAATAACTTGTTGTTCTAATATTGGGACAACTAATCTTGTCATCTTACTAAATCTCTCTATCTCTCTCTCTCTTCCTCTTCCTCTCTCTCTCTTTCTCCCTCTCTCTTTTTCTCTCTCTGTTCGCTTACATGGCGATCGTTTGATATTTGTAACCAAATGAATCGTTGATTGATGCTTATAATACTGATGACCTTTTAGCATCGATCTGAAAGAAACTGACCGCATGAATTTTTCAATGGCTATAATTTTCTTTCACACCATTTTTTTCCTTTGGTCAATTAACTCTAGTCGATCACTACAATCATAACTGACCTTTGTTTCTTCTTTCTGCTGGCCATTTATCTCTTAATTATGCACACTTTAATGATTGCATCTTCTAGATTAGCTTAACATTTACTCATAAATGAATGTAATTAATGTAAATTATATTAATAATTGAATACTGAAAATTTCTCACTTCCATTGTGTACCGGAAAGAATTTTCCAGTTTTAGTGATAGGAAGAAATAAAGGTTGATTGCTTGAAGTTTAAAAATTTAGAATTTTTGACAAAATTCAAAATCCATTTGTTTGAATACAAATTTAATTTCAAATTATTATGCTGAATTTTTTATCAATTGCCTCCCCAATGAATTATAGCTTAAATGGCAGATAAATTATGATTAAACTTACTTTGCATTTGATAATTGTAATAGCTTTTCTAGACATTTCCGGAAAGCTAATGTATTTTTCCCTCTTCGTAAATCGATTTATTATCAGAAGTGATTAAACTTACTTTGCATTTGATAATTGTAATAGCTTTTCTGGACATTCCGGAAAGCTAATGTATTTTTCCTCTTCGTAAATCGATTTATTATCAGGAATTATGTAGTAATGAATAGTAAAAATAATACTCGTATTTTTCATATTCTTAGAATCCTCCTAAATTTCATTCAATGGGTACGATATTTATGTATGGAAGAAAAAAGAAATGCTATGAAAGAAGCAAGGCAAATTGTGATCGAATGTATAAAAGTAATTATCTCGTTTAACTTGTTGTTAAAAAATTTTACATGATTTCATGAAGATAAATGAAATTAAATTTATTAAAGACAAATTTAAATTTATTGAATTCTATGACAACATCAGTTTTTTGAAATGAACATGAAATGAAGTACTTAATATAAGATAAGCTAAATGCTTACGAATAATATCTTCCATTTTTATCAGCTTTCCTTTCCACTCCGCAACAACATTATGTTATTAATGATATGCAGCATTTCAAGTTTCAAACAATTGCAAGTTTGCAAATTATTTAGATGGTATGATGCTTTTCCTCTTCAACAATCAAAAGAAATACCGATTAATCAATAAAGTGACCCAAAATCGATTAATGATCGTAAAAACTTCCGTTGTCATAACTTTAGAAATTCTAAATAACGATAGGGGTGATGAAATTGATTGGAAATAGTATGATGCTGCGACACTTCTTTGTCTAGGATTACATTATTTAGAGGGCCTAATGATACTTTACACAAGTAGGAATACCATTACGGAAGGAATAAATAACGATCAGCAATATTGGCCGTATTCCAAACGAAGAAGCCTATTAAGGAAGAACTGAGGTCACCGATATGTAAGTAAAAAATTTGTCGCTGATATTGCGAAAAGAAACAAAGGAACAGTAATCCCTTTGGTTGAAAATTGACATCACTGTGTTGTATCTGTCCATTGTTTTACATTTGGCTAACAAAGAGGGCTACACCAATGTGCGCCACAAAGATATTATTTCATGTAAACTCAGAACAATCCCAACGACCTCCCACTGGAGGAAACGAAGGGTTCTGAGCATCAGAATCGTTTACAAAAATTATGTACAGGATTTGTTGACTGGAATATTGGGTGTAATTGAGGCTCTTTTTCTAATTTTATTAATATTTTCATTGAATTTGTCTTTATTGATGTTGTAATTGTTGAGTTCGTTGATGTATTAACCAACTAATTGAATAAAGGTTTGATTATCCCAATTTAAGATTCCATTACCCAAATGTGTGAAGGAAAAAAAAGGTAAAGAAATCGACAGGAAGAAAGAGAACCAAAGAGGAGGAAACCCTTTCAATCTTTGTCACGTTTAGAATGAAATCGTGATAGAATTAATTCGAATAAAGGAAG